GAGAGCTAGAGAGAGAGAGAGAGAGAGAGAGAGAGAGAGAGAGAGAGAGAGAGACTGACTGTAAGGAACAAACGTGATTATCGATCTCTCGAGGCACAATGAGCGAAGTAGGGCGAGATTCTCCGTCATCCAACCCGCCTCCCCCCTCTCACACCACCCAAAACTCCCCAAATCCTCCTCCTCGAACTGGCCTCGCCTGTTCCCGAGGAATTCGCGGTTCAATTACGGAGGGAATATTATTGGGTCAAAGGGGAGGGTATCTATCGGGAATATTAAGAGGAGAAGATGTTTCGTGTGTTCCAGACTCTGTCATGTGCGCATCCGTCACGGAAAGTGTGGCCAACTTCTTCCCCGAGATCAAAGGGAATCTCACCAAGATCACTTGGGCTCACGCAGTCAACGATAAGGCAACGTTGAACAAGTCGTTGGAAGGTGAGTTGGAAGATTCGAATTGAATCGATTCAAATTTTCTTTCGTCCGATGTGGCGAGAATAGAATGAAGCGAGAGAGAGAGAAAGAGAGAGAAAGGGATCGTTTTCCGAAGGTTTTCGCGACGATCGTTTATTAACACCCCATTGGTGAACGAAACCGTTCAAAGTCTGTTCCATTTTTAATCCTTTCTCTCGATTCTCTCGCATCGCCACGTTCCATCGATACGATACACCGTATCGATAAAACAGAGCGAAAATTTTATCCAAGGCGAATCGCGTGATAAAATCGTTTTCGTCCGTTTGACAAATCGAGATTATCCTTGTTCCGGATAATTAAACGTTCGAATTGATTATTAACATTCGGGAAGAGTATCCTTCTTGATCCTCGATCGATCGAGTCTGGGAGAAAATTCAATATTACTTCGATAATTTTTTTCGTTCGAAACAATAATTGCAAATGAATAACGTTGACCAGTCACTTTTTTAACGGGTTAACGACCATCTAAGATCTATTTTCTAAACGCTTCTCTCGAATACGTAACAGAAGAAGGGAGAAGAGTTTCAATCGCGTCGTTCCGTGACTTGTTTAGGCGTGATCGATATTCGTTGCACGTGTCCACGGGTGCCGAGACTAGCCGATTTTCCGTCTCTTTTTCTTGCCACTGCCGCGTCTCTCCCCCCTTCTCTCCGTCTTTGCGACGCAATTGCACTCCTTGCTACTTGGGATCCGCTGCCATCCTCTACCTCCCCTCCCTTTTAAGGATTCTCTTCTTTTTCCACCTCTCTTTCTCTCTCTCTAACGAACTCTTCTCTTACCTCTTCACAGGGAACGTGATGATGCTGGAGGCCGACGTTATGTTTGGCAAAGTAACAGGACAGGACTCAACCGTTCAACAACCGATAATGGCCCATCCACCGGCGAACGAGAGCGATCTGTCGCTCGAGAATTTCCTCAACACCGTGATCGAGAGGAAGGAGATCAAGAAGGGCATAAAACTCGACTTCAAGAGCGTCGAGGCGTTCAACGCGAGCAAACCTATCCTGGACAAGGTTCGCGATAGCGTACGTATTTCGAGTTCTATCTATAAAATAGAAGGCGTCGAATCGTCTTGATTTAAGAGCGTTTCGTTTCAATTCCGACTCGATTACTAATTTCTTTTTTTTTTTTTTTTTTCTTTCTCAGTTGACATTCCCCGTGTTCCTGAACGCCGATATACTGGAAGGACCCACCAACGCAACCGCCATACCGGTCGATGCGAAATTCTTCATCGGTCAGGCGAAGACGTATCCGAAATACACTCTGTCGGTCGGCTGGACTACCAGGTAAACCAACGAGAAAATATAAATAAATAAATAAATATATATATATATATAAATACATATAAATACATATATAAGCATCGAAACGAGACAGTAAAATGTAAATTGAATTTCAGTTACGCGAACTCGGAGAACAACACTGAGAATATCGACCGATACACGGAGCAGCAAATTCAACGGATGATCAATACTCTGAAGGAGCAGCACGTTACCCAGCCGGTAACTTATCCCGTGAGAGCCGGCCTCGCGGCCAACGATATTAAGGCGATGAAAATGTTGATGGAAAATTCGACCGAGTCGGGGATCAAGAACGCGACCTTGACCGTGTGGTCGGGCGAGGGGGACAAGGTGAACGCGGAAAAGTTGTCGCAACTGATAAAGGAGATAGGGGTCGAGAACGTGTACGTTGACGTGCCCAAGGAACTGATGGACAAGCTTCGATTATCGGCCGCGTCCAATCCGAGGCCGGCCACGCTCGTCCTGGCAGCTACGCTTTTCCTCGCCGTCTCCCTCTCCACCATGTTGTGAACGATCCCGACAATTTCGCTCGCCCCGTTTCGCGCGCTTCGCTCCCGGGAACGGGCGGAGGGGGAGGAGGGGGGGCGGGGGGAAGGATTCCGAACCGCCTTCCACGCACCCTCCGCCTCCCCGCGCCCCTTCCCCCGCGAGAGAGAGAGGGGGGAGGCGAGGCGAGATCGATGACGAGATCATCCGTCGGAAGAAATCGAATCGCGACCGATCCGATTTGTTCTCGTCTTTTTTAGAACTCGTCGAGCCCCCCCGTCGAGCCTGTGTACTTGTTTTTTTTAGTACGGTAGCGTTAAGCTTATCCGCGAAACGGACTTTTTTCTAAGTATTTTAAGGAAGCTTTCCTCTAGAGACACAGATTATTATTATTATTATTATTAATATTAATATTAATATTATTATTATTATTATTATTATTATTATTGTCGCCGACCAATCATGCTTTCGATCGACACTCTCGATGTTTCTACATTTTTCTTCTTCTTTTTTTTGTCTTCTTTATTTTTCTTTTCTCCTCCGTCGATCCAATAATTTTAGAGAGAATCTTTTCTAGGACGAGAATCATTTTCTAGAACGTGGCGAGGCGCACGTTTTTTTTTTCCCTTTCGTATCTCGATTTTTAAGATAAAAAGGATTAAAAAAAAGTAAATAATAATAAATAAGATAGAGTAAGTAAGATATAAGATATGTAAGAGTAAGGGGCATACCTAAGGCGGAAAGTCGCATCGATAGATTTTGCTTTGATATAATAATTAAGAAAGAAACGTTCCTTGTTGTTTACCGTTTCTTTTTTTTCTTTTTCTTCCTTTCTTTCTTTTTTTTTTTTTTTTTTTTTTTTTTCCCCTCTCGATGTATTATATATATATACACACACACACACACAGATACACACACACGTTTTAATATTATTTTACATCTCGTACAACGCAAGCGATGTAATCGATGACCGCGGTACGACGAATCGAGTCGATACGTCGGAGGATAGATCCGGTTCGAGATCTTTTTTCGCGTCGATACTCCGCGAGGAATCGTACGTAGCGCGTTTATATCGTACCTATTTAGTGTTCATCGACGTATCTCCTGTACCTGCCTTCGACATATCTCAGACATAGTTTCAGGAACAAGAAAGATGCAGAGTAATAAGAAACGAACAAAAAAGGAAAAAATAAATAAATAAATAAAGAGAAAAGAAAAGAACAAAACGGTATTAAACTTTATCGAAGCTGTAACGCTGTATGTCTGCAAGCCAAAGGATTGTGAATGCGATTGTGAATACGGTGCACCCGCGCACCGCGTTTGATAACGAAACAATAAAATTATGCGCAAAATCGATCCGACATTTCTTCGTTCGAACGTCCCATCGTAGCTTTCCTCCTTCCCTTCTTCCTTCCTTTCCGCCCTTTCGAGAGAGCGTACGCGACAAATAACGGGAGCAACAGATTTCTCAAAGAAGACGAATCTCCGTCGCGGGTGGTCCACTCGCTTTTAATCCCGCGAACCGATGATCGTTCACGCTTACAATTCGTTTCAGATTCCTCTCACCGACGCGACGCGAGTCGGAAGGGAAATTATGAAAAATTTATCGAGAACGAACGAAATGCTTCGAGCAATTTAATCGTTAAATTGCGAGCAATCGGTGATGCATCGATTTATATTTGTAAATATTACATTCGTTTTCTTTTTTCATTCCAGTTCTTTCGATCGTTATTCGTTAAATTGAGAAAGATAATGCTCGTTTGCGTGCCAATCATCGAGGAATCTCATTGTTTATCGAGGGAATTTTTTCGCGACAACGTTCGGTGCCAAGGTAACACGGTGAAAGAAAATAGGTGGACGGAGGAGAGGAGTAAGAGGAGGTAGTACGGCTGTGGTGGTGGGGGGGAGAGTTCGAGATGTCAAGAGTCACGATCGCTATTATCGAAGCCTTTGGAAAAAGATATTCCGGAATTTTCGTTCCTTTTTCCCCTTCTCTCTCTCTCTTTATTTTTCTCAACTTTTCCTATTTGTAACAGAAGTTGAGAAGAGAAGAAGAGAATTGGTCGCGGTTGACACAGCGCGCCCGAGTTTGCGAGCGAACGAGTTTCGAACGAGTAACAAAGTGACCTATAAGCGCAATCTGTCGAGATAACCCCCTGAACCTGAAAAATTTTTTAGACCGAAAGCTACGCGTTCGAATCGTCGCCGATCTACGATGACCAATTTTCACGCGATAGATTCGCGTTCGATCCGTGACCGCTGTTTCCTGTTCCAGATTAACAGAGTAAAATCGACGCGACGCATCGATGGAAATCCCCCACGCGATTAATTTCGCTACGAGAATGAAATTCTGTCTTCAGAAGCGATGTTACGATCAACCACGTCCGGTGGTCGGGGAATCGTTGGCATCAACTCGAGGCCGTCTCGTTCGATGCGAGATAATAATGGGTAATGCGTAAAAAAAAAAAAAAAATGCATACCACGAGTACACGTACATACATTTGTCCCCGCGTGATAGCAACGTTGGATGATCTCGCCTCTTAAATTTTCTCGGCACGCCGCGTGGAAACGACCGCATTCCACGGGAGTGTCTTACACGCGGTCCAACTCGACTCGTCATTTATTCGTCCACCCGTCCCTGTTATCCGGCAGCCCGATTACACGGGCATCGAGCCACGACCACGCAACAGCGGGTGCGAATTTAATCGTCGTCGTTCCGATTCGACAAATCGCGTCGAATTAAATATATATATATATATATCGAAATCTGGCGAAACGTTAAAGTTAAATTCAGCGCACGTGCCGCGTCACGCATCTTCGAAGAGCGTATAACGACGGAAAGAACACCGAGCTATCCTGTCCCGAGCAGGGAGGAGAACGGTGGACGGCGAACGGGGGCGGGTTTATCGGGAATCGAATCGAAACGGAAGCCATCCGAGGGAGACTACCGTGTTTATTTATCGCGGCGCGTACCGGGCCGAGCGGTTTAAAAGGGGGGTGAGGGGGAGAGGGAGGGGGCGAGGAACAAAAAAACAGGCGACGACCTCCAGTACGCGACGAAAAACCAGTCCTCGTTGTACCGGTTGTAAGACGCGATCCTATCGACCTCTCGTTCTCGCGTCCCTGCCGGATTTCGTGTGGTATATGTACGTATATATACACCGCTGGACCCCGCTCGATCCTCCCCGACCAGTATCTTTGAATGGCGACGCGAAAGTGAATGGGAGCCGAAAAGGGCGACCGGTCACTGCTTTCCATCTCTTCGATCGAATCGTGAAATCGCGATTCGATCGACTTCGCGTGCGACTTGGAGACCGGTCGATCGATTCGATCGATAACAAAAAAAAAAAAAAAAAAAAAAAAAAAGAAAACAGAAGAAAGAAATGAAATAAAAAAAATAGCGCAATTAACAGAGAGCACGTGGGTGAAGTGCTCGGAGAAGAGAGAATGGGCGCGAAAAGAAGCGATCGGGAGGACGATATCGAATTTTGGGAGCTTGTGTACACACGCATGGATGGAAGGTGCGCGTGGCCGTTGTGCACACGAGAGCAGCAGACAGGTAGTGAGTAAGGGACGAAGGGGAGAAAGGCGGGTGAGGGGCGGGAGAGAATATCGGGCGCACGCATGCGCAATGCGTTCCGCGATCTGTGAAGCAGCGCGGCCGGCGGAGAGGCTGGCCTCAGTCGGCCGCGACATTCGGTCCGCGATACGATTCGCCGTTATCTCGGTCTCGTCGAAACCGAACTCGAGTCGAACGAAGCGGTGCGCGCCGGCATTCGGCGAGTGAACAACGGTGAGCAAAATTTTAGGGATCGAACTCGTCCATCGAAAGGGGGAAATGACGAGAGACGATTCGAGGTGTTGACAACCACCACCGTCTTTTTTTTTTTGTCCACGATCTAAAGGGTTCGCGAGAACGGTGGCGCGACACCCGCGCGAACAACGAACTAGAAATGTGCGAAACGTGAACGGAATCGTTACGCGCGAGGTCGTCGTTTCCCGTTGCGGGGATACTTTGTGCTGGGGAATCGAGCGAACTGGAACGTGGCCAACGAAAGCAAACGTTGCGGGTCATTTGGATGGATAAATAGATAGACAGATTCCCGGGTTTTGATCGTTGACATCGAACCATCGCGAACTAAATCGCGATATCGAACCACCACGTGGCGAAGGAATCCCATCCTCCTCTCTCTCTCTCTCTCTCTCTTTCTCACGTCTCCTGTATCTTCCTTCTCCCCTTCCCATCCCTTCCTTATCCCCGACGTCGAAAATTTGCCCACCGATCTGGATGTCTCGATCGTGGCCACCGATAACAGATCTCGTTCGATCGAAACGAGGAAACGAGGTTGCGCGTCGCGATCGCGCGATGCATCGCTGAGAAACTTTGAGAGTCTCGATCTCGATCGAGGGTATCGCGCGTCTCTGGGACGATAAGATGTAAGGGTGAATCGAAGGGGGAACAGACGACGAAGAAGACGAAGAAATGACACGGTACGATAGGAGGCTGTTGTTAATCTCGATCCTCGTGATAGCGTACGTGGTGTTGGCGTCCGAGGCCAAGCATCGTCCCCACGAGGACACCGCGTACGACGCCAGGCACAGGCACAGGCACAGGCACGAACAATCCTCCTCCTCCTCCCCCTCCTCGAGCGGGAGGAGGAATCGTCATGACCTCGTGGACAGGCGATCGTCGTCCTGGTCGCAGGAGCTCGACTATTACGAGGACGACTCGTTCCTCGATCGGGAGGATCGTCGGATGGGCGAGGAGGGGGAGGAGAGGAGGAAGAGGAAAAGGAAGGAGGAGGACGACGAGGACGAGGAGGAGGACGGGGAGGAGGGGGAGGAGGAGGATGATTACGAGGCTCGCTCCTATCACGAGAGATCCTATCCTCGGATCTCGAGGATCCACGGCCGGATGTTGGAACCGCCGCGTTACCCGCCCAGGTATCGCCGAGGCGGTTATCGCGAGGCGGCCGGCTGGTACCACGAGGAGAACGAGAGGCACAGAGGTTCGGCCCCTCGATACGGGGATCGTGCCTACTCGAGGCCGAGATTCGAAGACAGAGCTCGACGAAAGTTGTTCGGCTACTCGAGGAATCGCGGCGACTTGGACTATTACGAGGACGAGCTCGATTACGACTCGAGTAAACCTAGCCGCGACTACAACGAGGACATCCTCGAGAAGCACCGATCCTGGTGGAAAAACGTGGTGGGCAGGAAGCATAGGAAGCTCGGCGTCTCGAGCCACGGCTGGCGTCCCCACGACGGTCGAAGAAAGAGATACCGTCATCCCGAGGACGGTGTGTCGAGGAGGCACGACGACTCGATTCGAAGGAGATTCAATTCCACTGGCCGCTACTCGAAAATCGATGGAAAAAGAATCGGTTATTTCGGAGACTACGAGTATCGTAGCGTAGACGAGGTGGACGACGTCGACGACGATCAGGAAGAGCAGCAACAGGAGGGGGAGGAGGAGGAGGAGGAGGAGGAGGAAGAGGAGGAGGAGGAGGACGAGGAGGACGATGGCTGGAAGGAGGACGAGGGATACGTGGACGGGAACGATAACAACGAGGATCGAAACGCGAACGAAGAGGAGGACGACGAGGAGGAGGAGCTCGACAATGACTTTTACAAGAGCGAGAAGAAGAAGAAGAGGAAGAAATCAACGTTGAAAACTTACGACGAGATCATCCGAAAGTTAACGTCCGACGACCCAACCACTCCGAGATCCGCGATCAAGAGGGATTACAGGAACATCCAGATGGACAAATACGCGAGACGCGACGGATCGTTGGCCAATTTCCGATACGAGGCCAAGAATCTGACCAGGCCGTTGTTTCCTCGAGTATACGGGAAAAACTCGTCCGGTTATTACCACCAACCCCCACACGCGACGAACGAAAATTTACCCGGCTATCTGTCGACCGGTTCGCTGGTGGAGCGTAAACCGACAAAGAGCGGCGGCGGCGGTGGCACGGTGGAGAACAATGCCAGGTCGTCGAAGATGGACGATACTCAACCGAAGACCAAGAGTCTGGAACAGGATTACGACGAGTACCTGAACACGTCGGACAACGAGAAGGAAGAGGAAGACGCGATTAAGACCGGGGGAGTCGAGGAGGACACGGGCACGCAAGCGGATGTCGCTAATACGGTTAGTCGTCTTCCTTCTTTTTAACGTTTACACACGTACGAATACGTAATACGTCGTATCGCGCGTTCCGGATTATCGGGGATTGTTGGTCGATGATAAATGTTGGACGGGCGAGGAAAGATGGGAGAACGGATTATTACGGACAAGTTTCGATAATATCCGCGAATACGTTTCGATCGGAATCATTCTCGAATTCCTGTTTGTCGACGAGAGATTAAAGATGGTTGAGAATCGCTCGCGAAAGCTCTCCAAGAGTTGTCCGATTCTCAGAATTATTTCATTGCGCTTTCCTATGGCAGCAGCTGGCTATTAAGCTCCAACTGCTATCGACGAGACGAAACATCCCTTGCTACCTACTGCAAGGGGATTAGACCGACCTTGGCAATGTAGGCAACGACCGACCGCAAACCGCTTTTATTCGAGTTAATATTCTCGACCTGACATCCACAGGTACGAGAGACCTCGAGATAGCTTGGCTGAGAAATCGACACCGCGCGAGGTCGGTCAACGATACCGCGATTCTCCCTTCATGTCGAACCGAGACTACGCGCGCATCGTGATCAACCTCGAGAATACTTTCCTTTATCCACTAAAAGGATCTATCTTTCTTTCTTTTTTTCGCTTCTCCTGATAGAAACGTACACACGATATCGTACGATGATAATCCTAATTTTTATATTTCGAAATTGACGAACAACGAAATTGATGAAATTTAGAATCATAATTTCGAATCGAATTCGTTATTCGAGAAAATAAATAAATGTAGAATTATCCTTATAGAAGTTGCTTATATAACTGCAGGATTCGATAGAATTCGAATTAATTATCGAGATAGAAAAGTTGAACCGAGTGTTTCATCGCAAAAATGAAATTCGATTCTTGCTGGAGATACGGTTATCTCGATAGTTTTATTATATTATAGTTTAGGTAACGGCGAGTGGCCAGTCGCGCTGTAACGTTTTTTTAACATGCTTCGTTGAACGATAGAGACCACTCGTCTCGGCGAAAAAAACGTCACTAACGAACCACCACTCGTGCCACGATAGAAATATATACTTACATGTAAAAACGCGTACGAAAGAAATGTTTAAACAAGAAATATAATCGAGATAGAGAGAATATTTAGAAATTTAGGCGAGTTTCGTTTCCTTCGTGTGCTTCGTGCGCGGGTTTACACGATGGAGTGCGTTAATCGAAATGCGCACAGCTGTTATCCATCGCGAGGCGACGGACTAGATTTGCGATTCCAAGGGATCGTCACGTGCCGCTACAAAACAACGTTTCTATCCGTTTGCCTCGATGTTGAAACGTGTCAACGATATATATACATATATATTCGAAGGAGTAACGTTGAAAAATACGGGATAAGAAAACGAGGAGAAATTAAAGGGAATTAAAGAGAGACTTGGAAACGAGACTTCGTTCCAGTTCGTTCGATTCATCCCGCGGACGAGAATACGTTAATTCTATATCGTAGCAAGGGAAAGAGAAGGAACAGAGGAAAAAAAAAGAAATCGAGTCGTCGCGATCTTCCCCTCTTTTTGTGCCAATTCGCCACAAAGGTAAACCCGCCACGTTCCATCGGCGATTTACTTGTACGTGCCGGCCACGGACGGAATTACCGCGTAGGGGGAGGGAGGGGGTAATTGAGCAATCCTACGTGCAGTTGCTTCTCGGCGCGCGGTTTCACCGATCTCTCTCTCTCTCTCTCTCTCTCTCTCTCTCTCTCTCTCTCTCTTTCTCTCTCGTCCTGCGCGTCATTGTCGAAATTCGAAATTCGAGGGAGAAGACAAATCGATGAATCGAAAAATGAAAAGAATGATGAACGGAGAAAAACGAACGGGGAGTGTAAGGCTCGGCTCGCGAGAAACAAAGAAGGCTCTCGACGACGAAGAGGGAGAAAATGGTTAGATAAGGAATAATCGTCGTCGCTCGTTAATCATCGTTCCGAATATAGTCGCGGTTTTTCCTTCTATATATATATATATATATATTCAGACGGCGCGATCGTTGTACTCGCGACAACGATTGACCTACCTACCTTCCTTCCTTCCAATCGGGTAGAAGAAAACATCATTACTTAATGAGATCATCGTTACGCGCGGGAGAAGGCGATCGCGCGCGTGTTTCCAATGATTAATTCGCCGTTTCAACATCGTTACAACAGGCGAACAATCGTCGACCAAGCGACATTCGATACCGGCTCTCTATCGGTTCTACGACCGTGTATAAAATTTTAATGCCGATCGTTATTCTCCGCTAACTGGTCAGAACGAATACGCGTTGACACCCGCGCGAGATTGCTCGAAACGCGCTCTAAACTCGATTAAACGGCTCGTTTAAGGATCACCTTTCCTTTCCTTTCCTCGCTAAAACACCGAAGGGGAAAGGGAAACGAAAAAATGGAAAAAAAAAATTTTTGACGGCAAAAAATGGTCTTTTTGCCTCCCTTTATACGTTGGACGAGTAATCGCTAAATCGAGTAATGAAAATTTTTTTTTTTTTTTACGATGGAGAGAATTTAATAGTTGAAGTAATTGCTTCGATAATTTATTTCGTTCGAAATAACGATTGCAAATAATGCCAAGTAACGATGAGATCGTACGAGAAACGGGGGATCGACTGTGTAATAGCTACGAATAAATTTTAAGGGTTTCAATTTTTAATAATTTTTTCGATTCAACGAACAGAAAAAAAAAGAAATGTAAAAAATGTAAAACAGATCCCTCGATGATGTATAGAGGACAATTTTGCGGATATCGCCACGTAATCTGGCGAGACGACGATGATTCATCGACGTAGTCGTTTAAGCATCGCGGATAAGCGCCGATAATTTGCATTCGAATTCGATGAATTGAAAAATAAGTGGAATCATCATCCCGCGTTCGCATCGATTCATGGTCAGCTATGCTAATAAGACGCCTTATTACGATTTAAATTCGCGCAAAAATAAAGAGAGGAAGGATCGTAAATGGTCGACCGACATCAGCCTTGAGACCAATGCCGTCGTATCGTAGACATCGATCGATTTTAACGTCTTCCCAAGCCTTGCCCCGTCTCTTAAATCTGTCATCGTCGGTTAGACAGGAACGACGTTCAAGAAACGTCTGGGTTGATAAATGGTGGTTTTCGAAAGATTAAAAGTGGAACAATGTCGCGTTAGTCGCGGGAGGTTGTTAAATTATATTGGCCGGTCGAGTATATCCGCGCTCTTGAAACACGCGGTGAAACGCGGTACGAAATTGGCCGTATATTATAATCGATAATTCACACGGATTTTCATCGGTAAGTAAGTACGGTGGAACGGTACGTGGAAACCACGAACCGAATACAATACGGTATTACAATTAATTCCCAAGAAGTTCGTCAACGGAGGAGGAATTGTTTCACGGATGCTGTTGAACGCATCCGTGAATTTGTGTATAGAATTTGGACACGATCCAAGGATCGGGTACGCGTAATCCCCGAGTTATTTAACATCCCATCCGTAATATTACCGATTGTCGGTAAACACAACTCGCCCGCTATTATTCGTATAAGCCTCGCGTCCAATTATTCGCTCGGGCTTATTAGAGATGTTTGGGCAAACGCGACAAATTGGCCGTATAGAAATTTCCAGGCTTGCGTTAAACCATGCAAACCGGTGTACGCGTTGAAAATTTGGAACGGTTCCAGGTCGATCCAGGAATCACGAACCGTGCATATCGCGCAGGTGAATCTCCCCGCGCACGGCGAATAATTTCATTCCATCCGATAACATTCCGACTCTCTCGAATCATCGAAATCGATCGTTCGCGCTTTATGCCGGATTTTGCGATCAATAAGATTTGCAATATCGATTCAACGAATAGGTCTCCTCTTTACTTCTTCTCTATCGGGAAACGCGTATAAAATTATTTTATGTTACCCGTAGAGAGAGTCGCGTATGCGCGGCAAAATCAAAATCTTGCGTTCCCCAAAAGAGGTTAAAAAAGCACGAAGTTGTATCCCAACTTGTCTATCGAACTTCGAAAATTCGGGTCGTTCGTTTTTTGGAATGTTTCCAAAAACTGTACCGATCGAATCCAAAAATATTTTCATAGCCCGCTCGTTGGCCAAACGAGGGGAGGAGGGGGAGATTACGAATGGAAGTTTCTATTGAAGGAGGGAGGAGGGGATTGGAAATCGGTGGATGATAATTAAACGCTTGATTTTGTTTACATTCGCTCTATCTTCCTCCCCTACTCGAGGAGGGGAGGGAACCGGTCCGTGTCAGAAATTTCTATTAAGCGGCGAGCGGAAACGAGTTGGAAGTAATTTCGTTTGGCAGGAGGTGCGCGTTAAAGAAACGATCGGTTAAAATAACACGTTCTTCCTTCTCCTCCCCTCCTGCCTCGAGAACAGGGATGAACGGAGTCGTTTCGTTCGAAAAAGCATTAGACCGAGTTATCTCGAAGGATGATCGTGTAAGAAAAGGAAGAAAGCTTGTTTACCTTAACGGGATCTTAATAAGGTTGGCTTTATCGCCAACCTCGCAGGATCATTACGGATCCCATATACGCACGAGCGAGCGATGAACGCCGCGCTTTGCCCGTACCTTCCTCCTCCAACCGTTAATCTACCGAGGCTGGATGGATGGATTCTTCATCATCTTCTTCTTCTTCTTCTTCTTCTTCTTCTTCTTCTTCTTCTTCTTCTTCTCGTTCTCGAGGAGAAAATTCGGGAGAAGGATCAGTGGTGAAAAATTGGCGTGACGCGATTCGGAAGGAAGGAGAGGAGGAGGAGGAGGAGGAGGAGGGGATTTCGCGTGACGTTCCATTCCTCGAACGGATTAAAAAAGGATCCGCATTATTTGGGAACGTTCTTTTCGAAGTAGAAGAAGAATTCGTTTCGCCGCTCGATTCTTACGGCGATCACGTCCTCCTGTTCACGAATACTATCCACCGAAACGACGAATTAACTTTGAAAATGTGCCTGTTTACGAGAGAAAATAACAGAGGGAATGACAATGGGCCCGAAAA